GACCTAGGCAACCAGAGCCCTGATAAAAAAACGCAATGAGACCTGTACTCTAAATATGTCTCCTTACGGTTGTCCATAGAAAACCACGTGTTTTGTCTCAATATCTGCCCATATTCCACCACAAACTACGTATCCTCAATATCTGCCACGTATTCTCTCTCAAGAACGGCGAAAACCCGATAACTTTATTTGACAGCTTGATCAAAGGTTTAGCTTTAGAGTAACTAATTACAAGCCAAGCCATTGTTAGCAGCAACTGTAACTTTTCACGCCTTATACCCGCCCCGTTACAAAAGAGCTGAATTACAAACGACATAACGTTTACAAATTATAGTTGGCAACTAGTGGCTTAAATTGCCTTTTTCTGTCATTGTTCTCCGCGACCCAACAAATGTGGTTGTCTATGCCTCCCCAGAACCCGAAATGACAAAGAAACATAAGCTGCATTTTTTCCAAATCAGGGAGGTACGGCACAGTTCTGAGGAGTTGAAATAGAGAATGGTGATAAAGTTGTTGTGTGGGTTCACTTGTCTTCTTCCCGCCAGAGCTCAGGAGACCCATTAGATAGCCTCGCCCAGGAGGCTGTCCTGCGCGGAGGCCCCATTTTGTCCAGAGGGCCGACGCCACTTGAAAAGCTCCTCCCTTGTTCAAAATCCGTGGCATCACTCGTCCGAACAATGCTTTTTATGGCCATGATTTTCTATGGATGGAGGGATCTAAAGCCGCTAAGCTTAAAGACACCACCTCTCAAAATAATCGTGCTTCAAGACCCTTACCACCACGAGAGAGGCCCGAGATAGGGCTTCTCGACCGAAGCCTCGGGCACGGCCTATGTTGTTTGTGCGTAATCACGGGCGCCGATAAATGGCTTGTTCTCAATGGCTGAGCGGAGTGGGCTTCATCACGCCTTCCACATGGCTGTCCTATTTCCCCCCCCCCCCCCTCCCCGACGAACAACTAAACAGAGGCCCTCAGTGTGTTTCAAAACCCTGTGAAAGCCAGGCGTGTGTTTCTTTGATAGCCTGCTCTGCTTTTGTCCATTTTATTTTAATCCCTTTCGACCCTTTGTCCTTTGACTTTTTGCTGTTGATTCATATCCCTTTGAGTTTTATCTTTTTTAAATTTGAACGCTTTTGACGTGTCAACTTTGTGCTTTTTTTGCATTTGACTTTTATTCTGTTTGACGTGTCATTCGACTTTTTCCAGTCAACTTTTGTCCCTTGACTATTTGTCTTTCGACTTTTTGTCATGGAACCAAGAGTCATATGTCCGACGAAATCGGAGATGGCAGGGGGGAATGGATGCGGTATTGCAAGAATACTTTAATCATCAGTGCGTGTTAAACAGCGCACCAAGTGGTGCACAATCTAGCGTATTATGCCGTACGGCATTGACCCAGTGGGCTACGCATCCCCGTCTTGATCCACTGGTGGGTCGAAACCGCAACTCTATGTGTGAGCTCTGCTAACATTCGGTGTCATGCATGCTTCTCTTCCCGTGTCGTTCGAATTGTTCAAGAGCGGTTCCCGTGTAAGGCGCGCGGGCCGTGGTGATGGGCCGGCTGTTTTATCGCGGCACTCTCAGCTCACTGAATCTGGTACCGCCCATCTGTCACACGCTAGGACCATGTTCAACTTCCAACTAGAGCTACCGGGCTCTGGCGGATCCTTAGAACCAGCTCTGGCGAACGGCCATTGAGGCGGAACGGTGCAGCTGACCCAGAATGGATCCGTACTCTTTTTGACGATGCTCCCTTCTCAAACGTAATGCAAATATTCAACTGAGATTGGGAGTCATCGTAACAACCAAGCCAGGCAGGCAATGCCAAGGCTGGTAGGCTTCCCTTGATCAACAATGCTTTCCCTTTTTAGTCATAAAACCGCAAATATTAAACCACGTACAGAAACGAACTACAAAACTTACGTCACACGTACAAAACCCTCGGCGATGGTCTGACGCGATCTCCTTTGATCTCACACTGATCCTCTGCAGCACAAACCAGCTTGTTCCCACGCAGTAACCCAAATCATTCTCAAAACGTTCTCGGACACCCCATTGCTGTCCCGCGCTTCCGCGCCACACCCGCCATGGCTCGAGGTCTTCGCTGCGCGCCGGACCCCCACGGCTCGGGGTCTTCGCTCCGCGGCGGACCACTACGGCCCAGGGTCAGCGCTACGCGGCGGACCACCACGGCTCGGGGTCTACGCTCCGCGCCGGACCGCCACGACTCGGGTCTTCGCTCCTCGTCGGACAGCTACGGCCCGGGGTCTGCGCTCCTAGTCGGACCGCTAAGGCTCGGGGTCTGCGCTCCGCGCCGGACCGCCACGGCTCGGGGTCTGCGCTCCGCGCCGGACCGCCACGGCTCGGGGTCTGCGCTACGCGCCGGACCGCCACGGCTCGGGGTCTGCGCTCCGCGCCGGACCGCCACGCTCGGGGTCTGCGCTCCGCGCCGGACCGCCACGACTCGCAGCCGGCCGTGCCTCGCCGCCGGCTCCGCCCGGTTTCGCAGTTCACTCGGCGACCGCTCGCTAGCAGCCGTAACGAGCCGGGGAAAAAAGCGCCGCCGAGTCAGCGACGTAGACTGGCCGCCAGCACCGGCCTGGACTGCGAACAATCCGCCCGTAGCCGGCTCTGGCTCAACGCTACCTGAGCACCAGCCCGGTCAAACGGATCGGACCTTACGAAAAATCGTCTTCGTGTTGAGTTTTTAAGCTGAGCTTGAGCGTCAGCGCCATGCCGCGATTCATTTGGTCTATTTTGCTGACTGTGGGTCCTACGGCAAGCCGGCAGCGTGCAGTGGTGTTTGATCAGGGCGGTGTTTTAACGCACGTCACGGCTCAAGGCGAGACGAAACGTGCTGAGATTTCGACTGTTATGATTCGTTGCCGTTGAAAAGCTGTTTTTGGGGGCACAAGTTTTCCTGCTCGTTTAGGCAATGTGAACTATGAGAGCTCCTTTCGTACGTTCAACTCCCTTAAATCGTTTGGCCCCCCGCAGTTGTATTTTCTTCGCCCAACTCGTGCAACACGTGTATTTGTTGCCCGGCGCTTGCTATACCTGTACTTATGCTGCTGTCAACCAGCCAGCTTTGGATTTAGCATGGGGATAGCACTACTAAACATTGCAGCGGTCACAGTAGCGCGCTCAGATGAAAGCTCACTTTGAACATAGCTTCGCGGCGAGGTAAGCTCAGGAGCATCGGAAAATGGTGGTATTTCCGATGCCCCGTATCTGTCGGGGAAAGCGGGTGTTTCATCATCACAGCTCGCCTCGTCCTGCACAAGCTCATGCATTAGCCTTCAGTTGGCAAAGCTAGTGACCTTTGTAGGTTGCACTTCCTTTATCCGATAAATCTGCAACCCATGGGGTTATGTCCATAACCACCCGCCACCTATTTATAAGCAGCTGTACTCGTCCGTTTACATTTTCTAGCATTCTAGCTGTAAATTATGGAATAGTTTCAGGAAAGTCAAAACCATAGCTTACACCTATGCGGTAATAATTGCAAAAACAATGTTATTTTGTCTATTTGCGACTACAAAAAGCACAAATATTGACAACTTGTAGTTACTTCTGCAGTACGTATCATCCATGTACCCCACCTTTCGTGATCGTCTTAATCATGCCCACAATTTTCCAAATGTTTACACCCAGCTCAGCCCGTTAAACCCACTCCATGTCGGCGCCCACGGGGCAGTCTGAGGGAGAGCGTAAGCGCCTATGACACTAAAAGGAAAGGCGTCAGCGCCTGTGGCAGTCTGAGGGAGAGCGTCAGCGCCTGTGGCACTATGAGGGAGAGCGTCAGCGCCGGAGGCAGTCTGAGGGAAGGCGTCAGCGCCGGAGGCAGTCTGAGGGAGAGCGTCAGCGCCGGAGGCAGTCTGAGGGAGAGCGTCGGCGCCTATGTCACTATAAGGGAAGGCGTCAGCGCCTGTGGCAGTCTGAGGGAGAGCGTCAGCGCCTGTGGCAGTCTGAGGGAGAGCGTCAGCGCCTATGTCACTATAAGGGAAGGCGTCAGCGCCTGTGGCAGTCTGAGGGAGAGCGTCGGCGCCCCCGGCAGTCTGAGGGATAGCGTCGGCGCCTCCGACAGTCTGAGGGAGAGCGTCGGCGCCCCCGGCAGTCTGAGGGATAGCGTCGGCGCCCCCGACAGTCTGAGGGAGAGCGTCGGCGCCTCCGACAGTCTGAGGGACAGCGTCGGCGCCGGAGGCAGCCATCTGCGTGGTCCAAACGGCGTTACCTCACGGAGAAGCATAACCAGGACCCCTGGAGTTTCGCAGTGTAACCAGCGCGCGTAACTTCATGTGACGGTTCCCCAGGACCGGTGTGAACCTAGGCAGGCAGTCCGCCAAGCAGCAGCACCGTGACTGCTCCGCGCTCAGCGCCATCTGCAGCGTCCCAAAACTCAGCTACGGAGCGGCGTCAAAAACTCAGCCAGCTTGATAGACCGGTCAGAACAGGTCGGGATGGGCGGAGGGGCGACCACTCTCGATCGATAAGCATCCCCAAAACGCATGGCAACCCCACAACCAAAGTCATACCAGACCATCGCACTCCCGTGATCAGCCGTACCACGCCAGGGTGTAAACCCACAGACCCGTTCTTCAAAGGACAACCATGCTTATGGATGCCGTGTCCTTATCCAGTGTGGGTGTCGGCTCTGTTTGAGCGTGTCGCCCCCAGCGCGTTGTGAACTGAACCGCGGTAACATAAGGACAACTTCTGATACAGTCTGCTGCCTTATCACGATATATTAAAAGCACAGAAAGGGCGGCGATTCCCATGCATGATTACATCGCAAGCACAGAATCACAGAAGCTTTCAAAGAATGCACCGACGTGGACCATGTCATTTGGATCAGAGACTATCCAAAAACGCGTTGCAGCATCGCAGACATTGTTGATAGCACTTCTCGAAGCCCTCGTCTCCGTCATCCTGAAACGTGACCGCGGCGTCAGGGCGACGGAAGTCGGGGCCACCGAAAACGTTCAAATCAAATGGAAAAATCACGTGGGGACACAGCCTTACGACAAGGACGCTGAAAACCACAACGCATAAAAAATTCTGAGCCGTGGGGGTCTTGCGCTGATTAAAAATCCAATCCTGCTACAGGTATGTGCCAAAACACGGATCTTGCCAGCGGATGACGATCGGAAATTGACAGCAAAAAAGGGGTTGAATACGAAAGAACGACTGAGTGTGTATTTGTTTTCTTCGCGAGTCAGTACGCCCCGTAATCAGTGCCGCAGAATCGGCCTTCACACAATAGCATTCCAAAAGTTATTGCTTACCGACACATCCAAATGAGAACAGTGCAGTGCAAAGAAACCTACACCACTATAGAAATAATGCACCGAAGTCCCCTCACATGGCGCATGTACGATATCATTAACACGCAGCGTTTGTGCATCCACGCCAAGCCTAGAACCCTAAGGCCGACTCACATAGTAAGGGTCTCGAATGATAAGCTCGCCCTCTGGATCGTGCATGCCCAACAGCGCCACCTGCGCCTTCGAGCCAGATGGCGCCCGATCCTTCAGCTCCGAGATGTTGTCCTCGTCCATGCCGAATATATAATCAAACTCTTTGAAGTCTGATCGTTTCACCTGGAGTGAGAGCATAGGCACATTGCGGGATTTCTAGGCATCTCCGCATCTTTAGCAAGATGACACGTACCGTTCCGGGCCTCGTTATCACGTGGATGATAAAAGACGGCACGGTGAAAAATCACAGTTCCAGCAAGTTTCGTTCGTAGCTTAAGGGCTAACCAGCACTAAGTTAAAGGCTGTAGATTACACAGGGGGGATTGAATATACGTTGTATGTCATGTTCCACTGCACAGTCTACCTCGTGCGTATTGCCTCTGCCAATCTAATGCGCATCTCTAAGCTCGGTTGGCTGGCATGAGCAGTCATCCAAATCAGTGAGTATCCCCCCAGTAACCTACCAGGTGTGCCCTGCAGTCCATAGGTACGCCATGGCGCTTCATGGTGGCCTGGGCGCGGTGGTCGGGCGCACGGCCGGTGTGCCAGTCGCCTAGGGCGGCGCTGTCCACGCGCCACTGGTCACGTGCACCTCGCTCGGTCACCGCATGCAGGAAGACAGCCTCCGCGATGGGCGAGCGGCAGATGTTGCCTGGCGACGCGGCGGCCGTCATAGAGCGATCCTCTAAAGTGGGTCACAATGTGATAGGTGCAGGGCCTGATGACACACTGACTGACAGTCTGGACCAAGGGGAGACAGCTTAATGTATGATCACTGTGGGCATATCACATCATGGGAACAGGGTCTGGAAACAAACCACAGCAAGTCTGGAAGATTGTTTGGGGCCACTGCAGCAGGCCATGTGATAGCGACTGGGCCTTGTGCAAATGTGCAAGAGCTATGTTGGAACTCCAGGTCTGATGATACAAACCAACATGTGTCCAAAATATAATTTTCCATCATACACTGATGTTGCTAATATGCCATCAAAATGTTGGAAAAATCAACATTTCTTGGTATAATATAAACCAGGATAGTTTGTACTCCAGGATTGCGACCAGGTAAAACGAAATATTTTGTACTCCAAGGCACGATGAAAGCAGCTTTTGGAACAACAGCTTTTGAAAGCAAGAAGTGATGTTGGCAGCCATTACCATGCTCAGTTGTGAAATACTGGAAGGAAACAAATGCATTATAGCCACCTCACCAAAAATGTCACAAGATGTCTCATCCTCCCAATCACATATAGAACAACATGTTACCTATAACACTAATGGCCTGGTACGGAATCAATCAATAAGGTAAGAAAGAAGAATATTAGGGTAATCAGATTTCCGTCATAGTACCAGTTCAACACAAACCATGAGATGAGACACTCAGCAATGTCATGAACCCTATGCTTAAATTTTCTCCTGTGTTGGTGGGGAAATGCTAGACTTCACTGCAGAAGTGCTCATAAAACTGCATCACTGTCATTTTCAGGTCCTTGAAGCAGGTGCTTAACAGCTTTCTTGGTCAGGGTGTACTTTCCTACCTAATGTTAGAAAAAATCATTGTACACCATTTGTTGTGTTTAAGGTAGGACATGTGGTAAATAATTACAAAACAAGTAGATTCATGTTCTTACCTTCAAATTTTTTTGTAATTACGATGGCGAGCGCTCGAGCGCCACACACACACACAGCAGCCGCGACACCGGCGCCATTACTGCGCGCAGTCACAACATCACTGCGCATCAAGCAGCATCAAGAACCATAAAAATGTAGGGGGCCAAAGTAACAAGAATCCATGAAATCTGATCCTTGATGCCAACGATGGGTCCCAGGGGCATTGGGTGGGGAATGTAAAGCAAAATGAGAACATGGTGACTAAATAAAAGCTCACCATATCGTACCTATATATGGCATGGAACATGGATGCCAATGGGGTGCTGGGTTGAAGGGGTTATAGGGTGGGGAGGTTAGGTTAGGTTAGGTTAGGTTAGGTTAGGTTAGGTTAGGTAAGGTTAGGTTAGGTTAGGTTAGGTTAGGTTAGGTTAGGTTAGGTTAGGTTAGGTTAGGTTAGGTTAGGTTAGGTTGGGTTAGGTTAGGTTGGGTTCAGGTTAGGCTAGTTTAGGATATGCTCTGGACTATTCTGGTCTGTGTGTTTCATAAACATACCTAGATGTGATAAGAAACAATTTTCATTGCATTATTATTGTTACCTTGGTTCCATAATCTTTTATGGTTCTTGATAAGCAGAAATATTGTAATTATGCAACACAGAAACGACACTGAGGAGTCGAGGCAGTGTGCTGCGGTGCATGGGGCGCTCAGGAGCTTGCTATCATATTTATTAAAATTTGAAGGTAAGAGCATGATTCTACCTGTTTTGAGATTATTTACGATATGTTCCGCCTTAAACACAACAAATGGTGGACAATGTTTTTTCTAGCGTTAGGTAGGAAAGTACACCTACACTGCTTTCTTAGTAGCCTCAAGCGTCACTGGGTGCACAGTTAAACTTTTAGCAGGGTGGGTTGAACAAACCAGATGACAAGTGAATTCAAAAATTCCATTGTGGCTAAGCTGTCCCTGCTGCACACAAAAATCATGCAGTGTAGAAGATGAGGTGTTATTCTAGTGACACAATACTATGAGGTTTAATCAGCTAATTTGCTGATCTTGACAGGCTTCAGTGAGGGCTCATTGGGGCAGTACCATAGTTCTTTTTGATACAGGGCCCAGCGGTGCTGACTCGAGGACAGTAGTGGACAGTCGGCATACATAAGTGCTGAATGCTGAGGCTGCCCACGCACCCCACCGCCACCAACGATATTTGTGACACGATTTGCAGCCTGAAAGAAACAAAAAGACCCGAAAACCTACCTAAACAGATAAAAAGAACAGATTTTTTCATCCTTAAAATGTGTGAGGATATTTCACTGTATTCCCCACACTGCCAGCTTGCTCTGTGTAGCGCGCCGGTGTCATCTATGCGCCATGAATGGACGTGAAAGATGGGTGGTTTAAGATAGACCAAGAGCTGAACTAGTGCATAAACCCTTAGATATTAAGGAATATTTTGGTATAAAAAACAATACATAGCCTAATGTAGCTGAAAGAAGTAACTTAAATGTCCTCCTGATACTGAAAATATATTTTATTAATGCCACAAAAAATAAGCGTAATCTAGCACGTTGGCGCAAATTGTAAATAGCGCCAAAATACCAGCCCAGTATATCGATCAGCTGTTGCTTTCTTGTCTGCCCATGGTGTTCGTGGCAACATTGTTGCTGGCTGTTGCTTCTGCCACGGCGGGTCGAGGTTCTCTCGGTGGCATTGTTGAGGGGGCTGTCGAGGGCGTTGGGGCATGCCGTTTTTGCGCTGGAGGATTGTGGAATGCGGAAAAGTGAGGTGTTTATCGATGTCAAGTATGCGACCTTTTATGTGTGTGTGAGATCAAAATTGAGACTGTATCCATGTGGTTCGAGATGCTTAAAATGTCATTGAATTTACGTTGGTTGAAGTGAAGGCGTCATTGTGCGTTGGAAGAAACCGGATTCAGGCAGACAAAAAAAAAACATTTGTAACAAACTGTTAAAGGTAAGAAAACGGAACTGCTCGACAGTACTGAATGAATTTTCAAAGGGGGAAAGGTTTACCATTTTCACCATAATCTTCTCCCTGGGCAGCTGCATTCATTCCAAAAGCAAACAAATTTTTTTGGAGGGCACTTAATAAAATATTTGTTAAGCAGATGATTCCAGCTATGCACAAGCAGATACAAGTGAGTTGGTTATTGATGGAGTGAGCAGTCACAAAATGGAGGACCCATCATTTTCTTCTTACTCTTAATGGTGTCAGCAGGATTTGGGCTTGCGGTGTCTCAGTGGTAATGCCAGCTGTGTTGTGGAATTAGTTTTTCCAGCTTTGTTCAGTGTGAAGGTCAAGTGGTTTCTTCTTCCCATAGTATGTATGTTGATCCTCATTCACCTAAAACATTCATAGTTAAAACACTCAAGACATAGTTGCCCAGCCTTCCTTTTAAGTTCTAGTTCTCCAAATGTTTCACAAAAAGCTGTAAGTGATACAGTGTTGTCTATGAATACATCTAGGTTATGCAACCCTCACACTAACAATTTTTCAGGCTTTGAACTGGAAGTGAAAGATATTAAAACAGCTGGGGAGAGGATATAGCAGGAATCTGAAGCATTCTGCATGTGATACCAAGCAAGAAAATGACATCCATTATCAAGAACCAGATTTTGAAGCATTTATCCAAGTAAGCTTGCAAAGTGTTGAATTTTGATCTCAATACTCACAACTGAATTCAGATCTTGCTGAGATATCTGTGGTCAAAAGAAACATTTCACCCTTTTATAGGGTATGCTATATGGCCAGGTTATCTGTGTGAAAGGGAGGTTATCAATATTATCAAGATAATGTCTGACCAATGATTTGTGAACCAAACAGCAAAGCTTATTTACACATAACTTAAGGATATTCTTGCATGTTGTGTAAACAAGATCAGAAAGTGGTGATAACAACAAAAAGCATTCTGCATAGAAATTGCTATTGGATGACATAAATCAAGTCACTTTATTGAACCCCAGGCCTGTATATTGGCTATGCCTGCATATTCTATGCAATGAAAGTGCTTCCATTGTAGTTGGCTTTTGTATTGAATATTTTTAGCTTGTTGCATTGGGTGCATGTCAGTGCATGTGATATCACCTGTGGACAGCATTTTGTCATTTGGTAGTGCTGCATAAATGTTTGTCTTTCTTGTCTGATTTTTTTTGGGGTGACTTTGTTATAAGCCCAAAACTCTGCTGCAAAGGTCAAAAATGCAGAGCAGCAAGGGTGCATGTATGTGCTGCCATTCTTGCTATGCTGCTTTTGTGGTGTACTTGGTGGAACCACAAGTTTTGCAACTGAAGTTTGCTTCTTGATTTCAAAATCACCCATAATCTGAGGACAATTGTGCAGTTACCACTGGGTTTAAGCAAAGGACCCAGTCCTAGGAATGTGCTCAAAACACATTGTAATATGGCATGCCCAGCTGGCATCCAAAGTTGGTACCTTGATCGTGTGCTTCTGAATGACGTTGGCTGGGATCTCAGGTCGACAGCCCATACACATGCTCACATTGCTTTGAAGGACTGTAGCATCCCAGTTCCTGAACCCAAACTCAGTTTGCCTGTTGAACTTTTCCATACTGGACTATGTATGCCAATCATTTACTCAGGGCCGACAGCAGCGGCGGCCAATAGGACGGCCGCCAGCCGCTGCTGCCCGGTGGTGGTCGCAGGGGACACAGTGCGCAATATGCAAGGGAACTGAATGTTTCCTTTTGCAGAACCATGATCTGCCAATGATGAAAACAAAGGCTACGATCGCCGCCTAACACGTGCTGTTTAGTTAATTGTTTTCACGTGAAGCTGCTTTTTCTTTTAAAACACATCCAAAATTATGCGTCACCCGTGGATAAGCAAGCTCCCTGGGTCAGAAAGACGGTCTTTTGAGTTTTACGCGGTTTTTTGTATTGTTACTGGTTAATTTTTAACAGCCAATTGTTATGCAGCGAAAATTGCCGCCGTCCTGATGCAGCCCGTTTTGTCGAGTCTTCAAAATATCAAACCCACTGCTGTCTTGCATGCGGGGTGCAGTTGCCAGTCAGTTCGAGTTACCAGGCAGTTGGGGTTCCGAGCCCCATCCCACCATGAGCCAGATCGAGATGAATTCGGTTTCGTGTATTTTGGGGTGTTTAAAGCCGTTTTTGCTGAGCCCCCCCCCCCCCCCCCCCAGCCGCCGTATTCTGGAAAGTAGGCTCCCCGGTGCGGTTCATGGATCGTATGAGTATTTCCTGAAGGTCGCAGGATACCGTGGTAGCTCAAATACTGCTGTGATGTCCATAGTAACTGGTGACGGGTAACGCATTACACGGCACTGTGGAATCTATGGTTTAATGAATAACGTCATTTATAGCTGGAATTGATTCAGAAATGATGCCTGTAATTAGCTAAGATATGACCAAAAGAATATAATTTGCTACCTCAAATTCTACATTTTTTCATCTTCCATGCACTTAAGGGAAGCAAATCCTTGCCTTGCCGCGAAACGACCAGTGCTCTCTTTACGTAATGAGCCGGGTTTGAACTCGGTTTTGTAGACCAAAAGCTTGATGCTATACCGATTCCACGACTTACAAGCACTGTTTCCGGCTTTGGCTCGATCTTAACCATTTCAGAAGTGAGCCACATTCTTAGTCGAAATTACGTTTACACAAACATTTACGATAGTATTTGAAAGCAATGTCGGGACCAAATTCGCGTGGTTGGAGCTGATGGCGGATTTAATCTGCGGAAACAGAGTCGAGCGCACGCATTATGTCAGCAAAATGATCGCTTTATTTTGTGTCGACTGGTGAAACTACCAAGCTCACTGGAACCCTCTTGCTTGGGTCCAGTCTCTTGGCCTGGCTCACGCACTGGCCCCCTCCGAGTGTCCTAGAACAAGGCCTTGCCGTTTGGGATCCCAATGAATAGGCCGGCCGTTTTTCATGTCAACAGACAATCACCGGCCATAACCGTTGACGTCACATCCGATCGGATGGACGGCGGTGGCCCCAGACCGCTCTTGGTGAGCCTGGTTGTGCCCGTCATCTAGCGATGACGGGGGGGGGGGGGGGGGGGGCACGCCGCTGACACACGCCACGAGTGAGGCGCTCGTGTCTTGACATGCCGGCTGTCCAGAGGGACGGCGGCGCGACTGCCTGTCCCGGCGCCGACAACAGCGGCCGCGGCGGGGTCACGTGCTGACGGCTCCGCACGCTGGCCGCCCGCTGTCTCATCAGCTGTATGGACAGGAACCTGGACGCGCCCGTGATCTGATGATCAACGTTTGTGCCAGGCTAACATGACCCGTTCTATGATGAATGGAAACAATGCTTATATATGGATGGTGGTCTATTTTTGGGACGTTCGTACGCCTCTGACCAAAATGTACGCTTTTTACCGTGGGGACTTCGGTTTGGAGATGAGCCGTTGACTGCGCTTTGGTCTCCTCACCTCAGTGACGCGACTGACGGGTTCTAGTGAACACAACAGCCCAATGTGTCGGGAAATAATCGAACAGTGTTAGAAGTAGCGCCTTGCCTCCCAGCCGTGCGGGCGGCGGGTGCCCTGCGTCGGGAACATCCCACGCCCGCCAATTAAGCTCCATGCGGACGATGATTGCAGTTCCTGGCTTGCCAACTGCCGAGGCCGTTTCCCGTCCATCCATCTGGTATCGCAGAGCCTGCTGCCGTTTGGGAACATTATTTCCGGGTTTCGTGACGTTTTACGCAAAGGTGTTAGGATGTCGTGGTGCTTTGATTTTCGCTCATCGTTATGTCATATATTTGCCGCTGCGGACGCCAAAAATGTCTGAAAGCTAGAGCTCGTTGCAGTGGCTGGTCCGGCTGCTGTCAGTATGCGTACTCAAGGCTGGACTGACGGCTGCGGGTTACGCACCGCGTCCGTGGAGTTTGATTGGCGGAGGCTCGTGCTGGAGACGAGGCACAGTCCCCTGTGCAGGGCTCCCGACCAAAGGCACCGTGCCCGACCGCTGAGACGGTGACTTCGGCCGCTGCTGCCCGGCTAAAGGCGTCGTGTCCCGACCGCTGAGGCGGCTGCTTCGGCCGCTGCCGCCCGGCTAAAGGCGCCGTGTCCAACCGCTGAGGCGGCAGCTTCGGCCGCTGCCGCCCGGCTAAAGACGTCGTGTCCGACCGCTGAGGCGGCTGCTTCGGCCGCTGCCGCCCGGCTAAAGACGTCGTGTCCGACCGCTGAGGTAGCTGCTTCGGCCGCTGCCGCCCGGCTAAAGGCGTCGTGTCCGACCGCTGAGGCGGCTGCTTCGGCCGCTGTCGCCCGGCTAAAGGCGCCGCGTCCAACCGCTGAGGCGGCGTCTTCGGCCACTGCCGCCCTGATCAGCGTACCACACACCCGGCCAGTTTGCGCAGATATTACGCCATCTGGGTTACGGGGCGCACACCGGCGCGCTCAGGACTGGGGTCAGACAGGCCGACCAGGCTTCTGCAGGGTGTGGTCCATTGGAATGCGCTCAACGTCCGTTGTACACGCTCGGGTTTAGTGTGTATTGGCCAAAATACGGGCCTTGCGTGAAGGCAATGGCCGGAAATCCTGTTGTGCGCGACCCCAGACGGTTTTCAGTAATTCGGTGTCTGCCAACAGCTGTGCGGCGAGTGTAGATAACTCGGCGAATCGTGGAGCCGTTTCAGGCGGCGCGCATCTGGGAAAGACCCGGCTGTAGGCCGAGCCAAGGCTGGCGGACGGAGCCGGACCTGGCGCGTGATGGCCTGCCCGAACATGGTCCGCCGGTGGCAGGCTGGGTTTCAAGCGGCCCGATGCCGTAACCTATATCCTGTCCGCGAAATAATCCAGCAAGTGAACGCAATGTTCTTTGCAGAGTCCTGCTGAGGTCTGACATGGCACGGCCCATGGTTGTGGTGGACGCGCACACGTTTGCGTCAGTGGGACGGTGTTTATGCGTGGCTGCGAGTCGCCACGTGACAGAGCTGTCGCCGGTGTCGTCGACCTCAACGATAAACTGACTCAGAATAGAGGAGGTCTGCCAAATGTGCGTGGCTGTTGGCACGCCCAAATGCCCCAGTCATCATCATCGAACTGATCAGGCCGGATGAGAGCCGGATCCTGGACTCCGTCCAGCCGATCAAGGTCAGCAGTACCGCAGCTACACAGCGTCCCTGATGACGTGGTTGCGTCCGAGGGGCGCAGCCCAACCTGCCGGCCCTTGGTGGGTCGCTCTCACCGGCCGGCGACGCGCCGAAGCCGGACTGCATGCGCCGGCAGTTGTCGGAGCCGCCGTGTGTCGTTCGTTTCGTTCGAAATCAGCCGCCGTAGAAAACAAGCTAATGCGGAGGCTTTCTAGGGGAGATTGTAAACAAATGGCCGTTCGTTTCGCCCGTATGTTGCCCAATGGCCCCTGCCCGTTTAAAAACAAAACTACAAACGACGCTGCGTTGCATCGCGGCGGTATGGCCATAGCTTACGAAGAACAGTTACGTAGTGCGGGCCGAAGGTCAGTTAATTTTTTTGTCATCTTAAGTTTTGCTCATTTTTTGGCATCGACGGGCGACGTCACTCTGCCGTCCCAGAAGACTTGGTGATCGCTTGCTTGGTGGCAAAACTACTGGTGGCGTAGGTGCGACAACTTTGAGCATGATATTACGTGTGAAACCGCTTCATCAGATGAGGACATCGT